AAAAAGATGAATTAGAAACAAAACAACATTCCCAAATTTATGGTATGAAGCATAAGCAGGGCTAAGGTGGAAATTTATAGCCATAAACGCTTGCATTAAAAAACAAAAAAGATCTCTCAAATCAACAACCTGCTTTAGGTTGAGGAATGAGAAAAAAATGATCTAAACCTAAAGTTAGTAGAAGGAAGGAAATAAATGTTAGAGCAGAGATGAAAGAAATCAGTGCATCATACATAGAAAAGTGAGAAAAATCAATGAAACCATAAGTTCTTTGAAAAGATCAAAAAGGTGAGAATCCTCTCTTTAAGTGGACAACGTAAAAGAAGACTCAAGCTAAAATAAAAAAGAAAATGGGAGAATACTGTTTACAAAAATGAAAAGGGCTCTAAGAGTACTGTCAACTCTTGTACAACTTAGATGAAACAAATTCCAAGAAAAGCTAAACTTACCACTGCTCAATCACGAAGAAACAGAGAAATCTGAATAGATCTACAATTAGTAAGGAGATTGAATTAGCAATCACAATTCTGAAAAACAAAAGCTCTGAATTCTACCATGCAATTATAGAAGAAGTAACAGCAATCCTTAAAACTTTTCCCCAAAATTGAAGGGGAGGAACACTTCCTAACTCATTCTAAGAGGCCAAGATCACCTTGATACCAAAACCAGACAAGGATACTACAAGAAAAGGAATCTGCAGACTGACAGTCCTCATGAACCTTGATTCAACAATCCTCATGAAGTATTAGCAAATTGAATTCAGCAGCATATTAAAAGGATCTTACTCCATGGCCAACTGAATTAATTTCTGTATGGAAGGACTATTCATCATACAATAAAACCAATCAATATACCACATTAACAGAATGAAAGGAAAAAAACACATCTCAATGATGCAGAAAAAGCATTTGACAAAGTTCAACATCTTGTGATTAAAAACAAGGGAAGAAAAGGAAACTATGTCAACAGTATAATGTGAAAATAAAAGCCATATGAAAATCCCACAGTGGACTTCATACTGAATGGTGAAGACTGAAAACTTTTCCTCTAAGGTCAAGCCAAGGATGCCCACTTTGACCATTTATATTCAGCATAGTACTGGGAGTTCTAGCTTGAACAGTAGGTCAAGAAAAGGCATTTAAGTTGGATAGTATGAAGTAAAATTATATCCATTCACAGATAATATGGTCTTATATGTAGAAAGCTGTAAAGATTCCACAAAAAAACAGCCCATATATGAATTTGGCAAAGTAGCAGTGTATAAAACACAAAAATCAGCTGCATTTCTATACACTAGCAATGAACAATCTAAGAGGAAAAGTATCAGAACAATTTTATTTATAGTAGCAACACAAGATTGAAATAGGTTAAAACAAAGAAAGCGAATAACTTACACAGGAAAACTACAGAACACTGCTAAAAAAATTAAAGAAATAAATTGAACACGTGTTCATGGACTGCAAGATTTAATATTGCTAAGATGTCAATACCACTCAAAGTGATTACGGAGTCAGTGCAACCCTATGAAAATCCCAGTGGAGGCGGCTGCTGCTGCTTTTTTTTTTTCAGAAATAGGAAAACCATCCTGTAGTATATGGAATCTCAAAGGTACCCCATATAGCCAAATCTATATTGAAAAGGAGTAACAAGCTGGAAGACCCATACTTTCTGATTTCAAAACTTACCATAAAACTACAGTAATCAAAAACAGTGTAATTCTGGCATAAAGGCAGACCAATGGAATAGAACAGAAAGCCTAGAAATAAATGCTGTCATATGTAGTTAAATGTTTGAAAAAGGTGCCAAGACCATTCAATGGGAAAAGAACTTTTTTTTCAACAAGTGGTGGTAGTAAAACTGGGTAGCCATGTGCTAAAGAATGAAGTTGGAACCTTGCCCAAGACCATGTGCAAAATTAACTCAAAATGGATCCCAGGCCTAAATGTAATAGCAAGAACTATAAAACTCCTAGGAGAAAATAGGGAAAGCTTAGATATGGCAATACTTTCTTAAATTTGAAACCAAACTCATGGGCAAAAAAGGAAATTTTTAAAATCTTGTGCATGAAGGATATTATCAATAGAGTAAAAAGACAATCCACAGAATGGGAGACAGTGTTTGCCACTCACCTGATAAGGATTTAATATCCAGAATATATACAAAACACTTAAAATACAACAACCACAAAACCTGATTAAAAAGTGGCAAAGCAGGGTAGCGCCTGTGGCTCAAAGTAGGGTGCAGGCCCCATGTACTGGAGGTGGTGAGTTTAAACTTGGCCCTGGCCAAAAAAAAAAAAAAAAAAAAAAGTGGCAAAGGACTTGAATAGACAGGTGTCTAAAGAAGGTCATAGAGATGGGAATTTGAGGACATGAAAAGATGCTCAATATCACAAACCATAGGGAAGTACAAATCAAAACCACAATGAGATAACACTTCATACCATTAGGATGGCCATTATTAAAAAACAGAAAGTATTGGCAAAGATGTGAGAAACTGGAACTCTTGTTCATTGCTGAAGGAAATATAAAGTGATGCAGATGCTACAGAAAATAATATGGCAGTTTTCAAGGCAAATTTAGAATTACCATTTAATCAGTAATTCCGCTTGTGGGTATATACACAAAATAACTGAAAGCAGCAGTAGCTTGAGGATAGATTTGTATACTGGTGTTCACAGCAGCATTATTCACAGTAGTCAAAAGTTGGAAACAGCCTAAATGTCCACCAACAGATGAATGGATAGACAAAATGTAATATATCTATAACAATGTAATAGTATTTGGCCATAAAAAGGAATGAAATTTGATACATGCTGCATCATGGATGAATCTTTAAGAAATGTTAAGAGAAATAAATCACAAAAGGATAAATACTGTGCAATTTCATTTCTATGAGGTAGCTAGAGTATTGAAATTCATAGAGACAGAACAATGGTTACTGTCAGAGTTGGGAGGCAGTAATGAATGGAGATTTATTGTTTAAGGGGTAAGAGATCTGGTGTGGGAAGAGTTCTGGATGCACTGTGGGGATAGTTGCCATGCATTGTGACTGTACTTAATGCCACTAAACAGCATGTTTCAAAATGGTCAAAATTTAAATCTCAGGTAGATTTTACCATAATAAAAGTTTTAGACTGAAAAGAAAAATGTACAGCTTAGCTACTTTTAAAAAAGCTATCAGAAAGGGTGAATGGTGGGATCACACCTCTGGTGCATAATGCAAGGGTACATGTCGGATCTGTTAAGTACAGAGTATAAATGTCTTAACACAATAATTAAGTAAACGAGATGAGGTATATATTAACCAGTGTGATGTAAGCGTTCCTAATTCTATATGAAATCAGCACATTGTATCCCATAAATGCATTAATACATACATGATCTATATGATCATTTAATAATAATTTTAAAAAGCTGTCAATTTGGGAGGCTGAGGCAAGAGAATTGCTTAAGCCCAAGAGTTGGAGGTTGCTGTGAGCTGTGACAGCACAGTACTCTACTGAGGGTGATATAGTGAGACTCTGTCTCACAAAAATACATATATATATATAAGCTATCAAGCCACAAGACAGGAGTCTTAAATGCATGTTACTAAGTTAAAGCATCCAGTCTGAAAGGCTGTGTACTATAACATTCTGGAAAAGCAAAGTTAGACTGTAAAGACGTAAGTGTTGGTCAGAAGTTCAGTGGAAGGGAGGGAGGAGGAAATACAGTGAGTATAAGAAATACCAAAATCCATAAGACTGTACATCAAAAAGAGGAACCTTAATGTAAAATCAAGGCTTTAGCTAATAATAATTGGTTCATTAATTTAAGCACATGTACCACACTAGTGCAAATGTTGAGGAACTGGATGGGGAAGGGAGCACACGGGAGACTTAGAACTATCTGCTTAGTTTTTCTGTACATCTAAAACTTTGCTAAGAGTAAAGTATTAATTAAAATCACGTGAGGGCTTTTCCTTTTGTATACTCTGTCTCAGTGTATCACACTCACACGTGTTTGTTAACTAGGTGACTGATGGGATGAATGAATCAAATGACACCAGGGACAGATTCAGCTCCCAATACCTACATTAGGCTAAGCTGCGTAAAAAAGCCAGTTTGCAGGCCAGTCTTGAGGAGGACGTGGTTCAGAGCTTGGCGTTAAGTTCTTCTGCCTCAACCTTACCAGCCCCAGACCCATTCATTCTTCCAGACTGCTCCAAGACTTTATTTCCACACTTCTCAAAGCCACTAATACTTACTTCCTTTTCCATGTAACTTAGGTGGGGAAAATGTAAAGAAATTAAATTGTTCTGACCTACCCAATTCTTAATTTGCACCTGAAAAGATTAAAACTTACCATCTCCAAAATCATGCACTAGAAATTATAGGCCTCACGAAGGAACTCTGTAACCTATGTAATAACAACCCACAATTTTCACTGGTATTTGTACTAAGAATTAGTCCATCTTTTGCCTCCTTAAACTTTCAAGATGATATTTTTTCCTGTGAGTTACAGAAAGACCCTTTATGAAAAATATGCTACGGAGGCATCCTTCTTCACCAATCAATGCTTTTTTCTAATTGCCGGGTGAAATGTCGTCACAGCACTTTCCTCTGTACTTGTGGCTTCTCAGATACCTTGACATAGTAAAAAGCTCCGCAGTTCATGAATCCACAAAACCAGCCACTCCTTGAATAAAAAGGATTCTCATCTCTCTCTCTCTCTTTTAAAAAAATAAGATCTACATATATTCCTAAGGATTTCTCTCTAGTTGTGAGAATATTGGTCCCTGGTGGCTTCCATATGTTAGCATACTGGGAAAAATCCTCTTGAACTAATGTGACTTCCATGTCTTACTGACACCATCATTGTGTTTGCCACTCACACGTGGGCTGAGGACCATTACAGAAGCACACATACCTGGTGGCAGAAAAGACTTGTGTTTTGTAGTACAACTTACACAAGCATTTTATTTAGGAAATGAAGAGTTGAATTTTTAGTTTCTTTTACCTTATGGTGTTTCATTTTCTGCCTTTGTAAAATAAAAGCAGCGATTCGACTCACTTTGACGTTTCTTCAGTGTTCTCCATGACCTGTGGAAAATCAGAAGCACTGAGCTGTTTTCTGCACTGTGCTTTTTCGGTATATGCACACCCCCCTACGTCTCTTTTACTCACACACGTAAACCTGCCCCTTCTGATTGTGATCGGAAGAGTTGAGATCAACCTGGAATAGGCAAGATTTCTAGTACCCTGCCCTACAGGGCTCCCCAGAACGCTAAATAGTTGTGTTGTCCTTAGTCAAGTGTCACACATTGTAAGTTCCCCGCCCCGCCTTTCCTCACTATTTTCCCCGTTCTAACAAGCCCAGTGATCTTTCTAAGTAAGATACACACCTTACAAGCTAGAAAAGAGGAGGCGGTGAGAGGAAAGGATTGTTAGTGAGTCACTCGAATAGCAATGATAACAACAACAACAATAATAATGATGATAGGAAAACATCCAAAAAACCCAGAGACTAATAAAACAAGAGGCTAAATTCCCTCGCTAGCCAGTGGGCCCTGCGGGCAGGCTATCACTTGCATCTATGGAAACATAATTGTAGTAAGAAAAACATGAGCTTGGGAGCCAAGCTTGCCTGCATTTGAATCTTCGTTTGCCACCTTCCAGGTGGGTGACCGTGATCTTAGCCTCACTAAGCCTCGGTTTTTCTAACCATACCCTGAGAATAACAGCACCTACCTCACGCAATTGTTGAGTGGAAATACTTGAAATATCAAGCACAGTGCCTGGCACATGCAGGCATGTGATATTCATGATTATATCGCCACACTACTTTCTTGCCATTTGAAGAGTTATATTTTCAAAATTAGGGTATTATTTACAATAGGGATGATGCATAATAAATGCACAGAGTGGGAGGATCACCTAGGGCACTTTGTGTTCTAGAACCACACAAGTGACGTGAGCAAACCTGCCAGAGTGTAGCTGAGACGCTACAATAAAGTTTTATGGTGTGATGGCAGGAGGGTTTTTCTTGGTGAAGGAAAGTCATTAATAAGTTTTAAAATAGTGTACCTTTCTGCTATGATTTTCGTAACAAACATGAACTAACATTATTAAGCAAGTCTCAGTCTCTACAGTCAACTCTCCTAATCTGTGACTCCAACCCTATTTCCAGGACACTTATCTTGTCTCATTCATTAAAAGGCATTCCCTTTGTTTTTCTTAGAATTACAGCTTTGTAGTTATTGACTGAGATTATCTGACCTCAAAAAATTGGCCAAATGTCCTAATTTTGTGAGCCAAGCCCAATATTCACCTTATTCTGGTTTTAACCTTTGTTGCGCTTTTTTTCCTTCCATTAAAAAAACAGTGATTTAATACTTGAATCCTAAAACTTTCCCCAACTAACCAGAGTGTATCTCTATGTATGGAAAGGCTACAAGGCTAAGGTCACTTCCTGTTTGTTTTTTTACAAATGTGTCTTTATAAGCAAGAAAGAGGTCAGATTGTTGTTTTATATGTGTGTGGTTTCTAAAAACTAATTGGATTTTATCATCTCATTGAACATTCTAGAGAAAAAAATCAAGAGGCAAACTTTTTGAGGAAAAATGCTGTTAATGAATTACAAGCTCAAGTGCTTTTGCATTCAAGGTCTTAAGGCAGGAAATAATTTCCACACTTCTTCCTCTCATATTTGGCCCCTAAAGTTAACCTGTCCAGTTCACACCATGATCAATTAAAAACTTTGTTTCTTTTTGAGAATTTCTTCACTATTTTACCACCAAGCATTTTACAGATTAATGTGTCTTCAGATATTATTATAAATACAGCAAAAATATTAGCATTACAAATATAGCAAAGGTCAACCTACTTTCTAAAACATTAAAATATATGCCTTTCTCAGTTATAAAATGTAGGGACACATTATTTCAGCCTCTTGATAAGTGATAATTTTGATCACATTAAAAATGAATCATCTGGCTCGACGCCTGTGGCTCAAGTGGCTAAGGCGCCAGCCACATACACCTAAGGTGGCGGGTTCAAATCCCCAGCCCGGGCCTGCCAAACAACAATGATGGCTGCAACCAAAAAATAGCCGGGCGTTGTGGTGGGCGCCTGTAGTCCCAGCTACTTGGGAGGCTGAGGCAGGAGACTCGCTCGAGCCCAGGAGTTGGAGGTTGCTGTGAGCTGTGTTGCCATGGCACTTTACCCAGGGGGACAGCTTGAGGCTCTGTCTCAAAAAAAAAAAAAAAATGAATCATCTGACAGCATCATTTAATGATGGCATCTCACTCGATCTGGTTGAATTTTTATCGTGGTGAGATCCATATAATAAGATTTACCATCTTAACAATTTTTAAGTGTACAGTTCAGTGGCATTAAGCACATTGGTTCCCTCTTCTCCGTAAGGGATACATTCCAAGACTCCTGCTGGATGCCTGAAACCTCAGATAGCAGCAAATCCTATATATACTATTTTTCCTACACGTATGTATGATAAAGTTTAAATTATAAATTAGGCTTAGTAAGAGATTAACCACAGCAATAATACAATAGAACAATTATAACAATATGCCAGCATCACTACTCTTGTACTGTGGTGCCATAATTAAGTAAAATAAGGGTTACTTGGTCACAAGTACTGTGAGAAGGACAGTCAGTCTTACAACTAGATGGCCACTAAGTAAGTGGGTAGCATGTATGTGCGGATACGCTGAACCAAGGGGGTGATTTACATCTTGAGAGGGACAGCATGGGATTTCATCATGCTACTCAGAAAGGAATGGTGTGCAATTTAAAATGCATGAATTGTTTATAGAATTTTCCATTTAACATTTTTGGACAGTGTTTACCTGCAGTAGCTGAAACCACTGAAAGTGAAACCATGGATAAGGGGACTACTGTATGTTCACATTGTCTGCAACCAGCACCCCATTCCCAGAACATTTTACTCATCCCCAAACTAAACCCTAATACTTGTTAAGCAGTAACTCCCAGTTCCTCTCGCCACAGCCCCATTCCACTTTCTGTCTCTGTGAAGTTGATTTTTCCAGGCACCTCTTATGAGTGGACTCACATGCGACCTGTCTTCTGTGTCTGGCTTACTTCACTTAGCATGTCTTCAGTATTCATCCATGTTGTAGCATGTAGTAGAATTTATTTCACTTTACTGCTGAGTAATGTTCCACTACATGTATCTGCCATAGTTTGTTCATCTGGTCTTCCACTGATGGACATTTGGGTTGCTCTATATTTTGGGTCTTGTGAATAATGCTGCCTTGAGTGTGGGTGTACAGTCCTATTCCGTTGACCTGTATGTCTATCTATAAGCCAGTACTACAGTGCCTTGATTACTGTAGCTTCATAGTAAGTTTAGAAATCAGAAAGTATGAATCTCCAAGTTTGCTTATCAAAATTGATTTATCTATTTTGCCTTGTGTTTGAAAGATATTTTGCTTGGTGTAGAATTCTAGATTTACTTCTTTTTTTAAATACAACATAAATGTTGCTCCATTCTCTTTTAGGTTGCATTGTTTCTGAAAAGAAAACTGCTGTCATTGTTATCTTTCCCTGTATGTGATGTGTCTGGCTGCCTTAAGATTTTCTCTTTATTACTTGTTTTAAGCAATTCAATTATGATGTACCTCAATGATGTTTTCTTTGTGCTTCTTGTTTGTAGGGTTTGTTGAACTTCTGGTATCTATGAATTCAAGGTTTTTATCAAATCTGGAAAAAATTTCACTGTTATTCCTTCCCATCCTTTTCTGCCCCCTTCTCTCTCTTATTTCCTTCAGGGACTCCAGAAACCCAGTATTATACCACTTGAAGTTGTCACATAGCTCACTGATGCTCTTTTCATTAAAAATTTTTCTTTCTATGTTTTTTTCTTTCAATAGTTCTGATTGCTGTATTTTCAAGTTCACCATTCTTTTCTACAGTGTGTAATCTGATGTTACTATCATCCAGTATTTATATTTCACACACACGTTCTCATCTCTGGAAGTTCAATTTGGGTCCTTTGAAAAATGTATATTCCGGTGGTGCCTGTAGCTCAGTGGGTAGGGTGCTGACCACATGCACCAGGGCTGGTGGGTTCCAACCCAGCCCGGGCCTGCTAAACAAAAAAATAGCCAGGTGTGTGGCAGGTGCCTGTGGTCCCAGCTACTTGGGAGGCTGAGGCAAGAAAATCGCTTGAGCCCAAGAGTTTTAGGTTGCTTTGAGCTGTGATGCCATGGCTCTCTACCGAGGGCAACAAAGTGAGACTCTGTCTCAATTAAAAAAAAAAAATGTATATTCCATATCTCGACTTAACTTTTGACTATAAGGAATACATTTTAATAATTATTTATGTGCTTGCCTGATATTTCTAACATTTGGGTCAATTTCTATTTATTAATGTTTCTCATTTTTGAACCTATTTCCTGTTTTTTTTGCAGGTTGGTAATTATATTGCATAGGAGACATTGTGACTTTTACCTGTTAAGTACTGGGTATTTTTAGAATTCTTGAGGGTTTTGTTCTTTTTTTCCCATTGGAAACAATTTTATTCCTTCAGTTTGTAAGGTAGGACTGGGATGCTGCTTAATCGAGGGCTAATTATTCCCCATTCCCAGGGAAACACTCTTACGTGGACTCTAACACCCTATGAATAACGATGTTTTTAGTTTTGGTGCAAACAGCTACTTTTCCTGGCCCTATGAGAATATTGAGCACCTCTAATCCTTTGTATTTTCTTTCCCTAACCTAAAGTATGGGAGGTTTCTCCCATATGTGTGCTGATTACTTCTTAGTTAAACACCTGAATTGAAGATCTCTGGAGTTCTCTTTCCGTACAGGTCTCTCTCTTTTCTAGTACTATTTAGTGGACTTTAGCCATTTTGATCTTCCTGAACCCCAGCTCCATCTTCTCGACTTGGGGAGTATGCCAAGTTCAGGCTGAGTTCCTCCATTCGTGCCACAGCCTGGAAACGCTTTCAGTTCAGTCATCTCAGGTAATCACTGGCTCACCTCATCTGTTTCCCATCTCTCAGGGATTGTGGTTCTCTGTTGCCTGATGTAAATATTTTGAAAACCATTGCTTTGTGTATTTTGTTCAAAATTGTTTCAAGTGGGAGGAAATAAATCCAATGTCTGTTACTCCATCTTGGCCAAAAGCAGAAGTTTCAATATAGTTTTAAAATATCAATTTGTCTTCTCAGAGATTTGCTTATCTTTGCATGTAAAATTATTCATCCTCTCTAAACACTAGCCTCCCTCAAAATATTTCTAAGAATCTGGCCCCTTATATCTGTATAGCACATTATAGAAGATAATAAATTATCTTCATGTGAAAAAGGGTGCTTGGCACAAAGTCCATTTAAAAAGTCCTAGGATCAGTCTTTTCTAGATAAATCTCACACTAAATCCCTGCATGTAACAACAACGGTCTCATGTAGGGCTTTAAAACTGGCATTTCACTTTGAATTTACTTACTGTGGTAGGCACTGGTATCACTCGTCTCTACCAGGTTGATACCATACTGGACTGAACTGGTCCTCTGAAGGTGGCCCTTCCTGACAGCAGAGAAGAGAGAAACAAAAAATGGGTAATAGGAAAGCATATCAGAAGACCTAGACTATTTAGAGGTTCATTTCCTTTCCCCAGTTGTGTGAAATTGTCAGGGATCCTTTAAGTCTGCATCCTATTATTTAACTGCATCTACCATGCAGGTGGGTCAGTCATCTCTGGGGACTCCAGGTGCTGGGATACCACCTGTCTTGTTCTTTTAAGACACCAAAGCTGATATACATGTATGTTAGTGTGATTTTGTGTGTGTGTGATTTATTTATTTAAGATCCCCTTTACATGTCAAGTGCTCTTTCTAAAGAAGTTAATTAACATTTTAGTTGGGACACTTACATGACACAGAATAGCTTCAGTGAACTACTATTCTTTTTTTTTTTTTTTTTTTTTT